GAATTCAAGTGTAGGGGCCCTGCAGGTAAAGAGAGCCAACAAGCTAAATCCATGAGAGATACCTGCTTGGAGCTAATGTGATTCAAAAGAACTCTACGTGCAGTCTCTGCTTGCAGGAAAAAACCCCAAAAGTTTATCAGCCAATTTTGTGGATAAAATCAAAAATAATCAAAAATCATAATAAAAAAGTTCTTTGGACTTAGATAGACAAATATGATTTGTATGATGAATGGTCTAAAAATCAAGTGTTCATCTGTGTCTAAAAGCAGCAAAATTGTCGTACATGAACTTGCTCCAGATTGACTAACCGATTCATTACTACAGTGAAGATTCCCACTTTAACACAACTAACAGTCACTGTTTACATAAATGATCAGCTGTTCATTAAAACATTTATTAATCAGTTAATGCTTTAACTGCTTACTGTTTCTCAGTCTTGTTCTATTTTAAATGTGCACTAAGCCTGTGTTTTCATTTTAGGTGTTAGTAATAATAATTAAGGCTTTTTTTTTTTCACTTTCAGGACATGAATATTGGTACGCAATCATACTAACCTATTACATTTACATTTACTTGGTTAATTATTTCTCTTTATTTGAATTCTTTGTGCCAGATACAAGCTTATTAAGGGTGAGACTTCACTACATTGCTAGCATTTGCTATGGCTGCTTGATTTCATTAAACAAAAAAAGAGACATGAACCCTGCATGCATTTAACCCTTAAACTACTGCTTTGCCTCTGCATTTCCATCATGTTCGATCTAATATTTATGCAAAATGTTTGCATATGAGATGGGAAATGCACGACTCATGGGAACGGGGCACCGTTTCAATGTGAAATATTGCTCTGGGAATTCAACATATTCTTCAGATACATTGCTTTGCAGTTATTTAAGGGTTAATCAGGTACAGCAACAAGTTACTGCTTGTGTGACAATAAATGCATGTCCTTTCTCAACAGAAAAAAACATTGGAAAACACTTACTATTGCACTTTTTTGAGCACTTATTTTTCTCTTCTTTTTGGAAATCTTAAAAATGCATTTTCAGGAAAAGAAGAATGCATCTTTTATGTTTTATTTTTCATGAAACATTTTGATTTCAAAGAAATGACCTTGTGTTTTCACACTCCATTGTCAGTACCTGCCTTTGGACATGAGCATCTTTTGTTTTTGTCTCTGTCTAACAGTCCCATCGAGTCCTGTCAGAACTTCTACAAAGACTTCACGTTGCAGATTGACATGGCATTCAACGTCTTCTTCTTGCTCTACTTTGGCCTCCGTGTAAGTAGAACTCAGAGTCCCCATCTCAGTTAACTCTTTTCCCCCTTGGACGCCTACTAGATGTAGCCCTTGTTTCTCTTTTCCAAACTGAGCAGTTTGTGTCATGTTTGCTTCCAGAACAAACTGACTGTGCGTGCATCAGAAGTTAGTGAGGGTGATCTTTGCCTATACAGCTTAACTGGAGCTACCCTGGGAAAAACCCAGGAACCTATTCTAATGGTCATCAAACCACATCTTTGCTGATATATATTAAGGTGTCAAAACTTGTTAATAAGGGTAAAGAAGAAGTCGTGATTACGTCCTTATTGGAGAAAGCGTTAAGGGAAGATTTATGAATTTTCCTCTGTGATTTTCTCTTGTGTTTTCATTTAAAAGTAGCAAATTTCTCTCTTTTTTAAATTTTTACTCTACTCTTTGTGTTCGCAGTTTATTGCTGCCAATGACAAGCTGTGGTTCTGGCTGGAGGTGAACTCTGTGGTGGACTTCTTCACCGTTCCTCCAGTGTTTGTGTCAGTGTACCTGAACAGGAGCTGGCTTGGTAAGAAGGCTCTTTTTACTGGCAGTGAATCAATGAGCATTTATTTATCAGTGGCCTGCAGTGCCCCCTGGTGGATTTAACAAGTCTAACAGCTGTCGTTTGCACACCAGATAATCTCAGCACATCACTAAAGCTGCAAAGACAGACATTGGTGCGCCCCTATTGTTAGCCATATAAGTTTGATGCTTTTGTCATGCAATTAACTTCATGCTGACACACTGCATGACGTGCATGAAGAATAAGATTCTCGCTATCATGATGGAATTGTGCATCATTTTCAAAAACCTCTGGTACAGCACAGCATGTAAGTTGATCAGCAATAATGACTCAAACGCTTTGTTATCTTTGTTCACTGAACTCATGCTGGCTTGCTTTAACGTAGGATCAAATGTTGTATGACTGAAAAGGTGTGCCACTTGAGTCCATGTCTTTGGCCCGGTCTTGTGCTTAGCAGGCTTTATACTGCAGTTGTCATTCACATACCCTTCACCTCTCCAGCAGAGCTCTCTACGGCACCGTTAATAACACTCAAATGAAATCACGGTGTGGCTGAAAAGTACACGAAAGGATAAAAAAAAGGTAACAGGCTTTGTTGGGGGCTGGAGCGCAGGAATACAAGTCAATCTTCTAAATGTCTGAAGCTCATCACTCGGAGAGGTCTGTGAGAAATTAGGGGATTAAGTTGAGGGGTTGAAGAACAAATCTTCCATATAACCAACAGCAGCTATGCTTTCAGCAAGAAACACTCCTGCCCTCTTAAGTCAGTAGAACAGCCTGATTACTACACTTCAATAATGTGCCTGTGCGTTTTCACTGAGCAGATTTATTGTGACTTGCGGTGTCAAAACAGGAAACAGTAGAATGTATTGATGCTGGTTGCTGCTGCCATCTGGTGGACACATGGGAGTATAGCTTGCATTTTAGCTGATCGGCTGTCTTTTGGATATCAGATTGTTATTTTGTTTATACATGTTGTAGACTGTCTATAGTGTTATATACATTTACATATAGTTATTGTGTTATTCATCAATTCCTTAATGGTATTTGTACTTGTACTTGATGTCTGGTCCAATTTCTGTGTTTTTGTTGGATTATTTAATCTGCAAAATTTCACAATGTGTGCAGACTGGTTGTTGCTTTGCTTTTGGCACTGAGTTAGCATTTATGGACAGTGCATCAAAAGAGAAGAATATTTCTTTAGAGATGATGTAAAAGTCATTCATCCACGTAGCAGAGCAGAATGACACCGTAGGAACACTTCTGTTCAGTTTCAGCGTTGGTTTTCCATCTATCATAGCAGTCTAAGGCTTACTAACACAACAAATATGTCTGCTTGTTGTCAAGAAACACAACAGCCATGTCACAGTGATTAAATCACTATTATCCACATAATGTTAGAGCGATATTGTGGTTCGGACACACAGTTTGTTTTATTATCAGTCGATCGCTTCTAATATCTTTATGTCTAAGAAGCTCAGATTAGCAAACGACTCAAATCATGGTCATAATATCAACATATATTTTGATACACCTCTAATAGTTTACATTATATGACAACATTTCTCTTGTCAGTACTCATATAGCCAACAGTAGCCTTTTGAGAATCTGAACATGTACATAGGTTTGTTCGGTTAAGGCTTTGCTAAATTGTCAAACAGCGTGAGCAGCACTGAGATTCGGTTATTACTGTTAGCACCCCGTTGTTCCGCTGTTACTGTTTGTGTAGGTGTTGTTGCTTTTGTTGTTCGCTCAGCCCTGCGTGACTCATTTCACTGTATTTCATACAAGCCAAAACAGAGAGCTTCCTGTCACACATCAGGTGCATGGAGAGGAGATAGAAGGCTGTCTAGAGAATGAAATTACACATGCGCAGGCTGTATGCTGGATATTAGTTTTTAATATTGTACTCGTAGGCTACTGTTGAGGGTTTAGAAAAAAGACATTCGGGCATGGTTTGCGAATTAAAAGCAGAGCTGTAAATAATAAAATTGTTGGTAATTCATACTAAATTATCCCATTTACCTGCTTTAGTTTTGAGGGTGTCATGCTGCCCATGCTGGCTCACTGGGACACTTATAGAATAGAGAGGTCTATTTAATTTTACTGATTAAAAAAATGATTTCTGCTGATCGCTCTTAACTCCAAGCATAAAAATGTATTGTTGTTTCTTTTCTTTCTTTCTTTTTCAATGGAAAGCATCTTAATCTCTTTTAGTATGGTCGGTGCAGTTGGTCATGGAGGATTTAGTGTGTGGCTAAACTGAGGTCAAACAAGTGATGAGGTCGCATCCGGCTCAGCTGCTGTCGAATTGCCTCTTCCCTTCGAAAGTCCAAATTTCACTGAGTGCTTAGCTGAACTGCCAATCTGCCGGTCCTGCTGTCTGAACGCTTTGACACAAATACATCCAGTTTGCACCAATATTATCGCACATTAACAAGCTCATTGATGCATGACAGGCTTCGGGGTGCGAGCATGACACACATTTTGGATGTTACGGAGAATATGCCTTCAGATATTTCACGCAGAAACAAACTGCAGCAGCTGAAAAGATAATCGTTTTTGGTTCTGGGTTTTTATGCTTCGTATGCAGTCACTGGACAGTTTATTAGGTACACCTTACTAGCACTGGGTTCGGTCCTGTTTTGCTTTAGAACTCCCTTAATTCTTTGTGGCATAGGTTGAACAAGCTGTTGGAAAAATGCTTTAGAGATTTTGATCCATAGGACATGACAGCATCATGCAGTTGCTGCAGATTTGTCAACTGCACGTCCACAATCTTCTATACCACCACATAACAAAGGTGCTCTGTTGTTGTTTGAGATGATTTGAGCTTTGTGACATGGCATGTTATTCTGCTGGAAGCAGCCACGAGGATACGGTTACACTATGGTCATAAAGTAATGAATATCATCACCATCAATACTCTGGTGGGCCATGGCATTTAAATAATACTCAGTTGCTACTAAGGGGCCCACAGTATGTGAAGATAATATTCCCCACAAAAACAACTTAGCTGAGGAGTGGAATCTGGTGTGGTCTTCTCCTGTGGGAGCCCATCTGCTTCAGAGTTTGTCCACAGATGCTTTTCTGCATATCTTGGTCTTTTTTATCACTTTGAAGCACTCTGCCATGTGATTGGCTAATCATATATTTGCATTGACAAGCAGTTGAACAGGTGTACCTAAAAAAGTGGCTGGTGAGTGTAAGTTGACATGCATCTTTGCTCATAGAAAAATGTCATATTTTGCATGTTTAGTTTACTGATCTGTGGTTCCAAGTGTTTTTGGCTTTTGGCGCCTTCACTCACGTCTCTTTGCAACACTTCGTGGACTGATATCTGAGTCATGAATTAGTAAGAACAATGAAGTCCTGAAGTAGTAAAATGAGCCCGGATTATTTTTTACAGCTCTGTTATTCTTTTACGTACCTTTCTAACTGCACCGATGTGCACCAGTGTAACCGAATTTAAATATTTGTGATATGTGTTAAATAAATAAAGAGGTTGAAGAGCCCAGATACATTTCGGTTAATTACAGGACCTGTAAAAAAACAAACCCTCTTTTTAAAATTTCACTCTTTTCTCAGTTAGTTCTCTTCAGATTACTCTTAATATCACTTGAATATTAAAACGAGTCCTTTAATTGAACTGCTCAGTCTTCTGAAATGCACTAAAAGGATGAATGAATGAACTTCAGTTCATGTATTTTTTCTGTACGGTGATTTTTCTTTTTTGTATAACTACAATAACAGCTATTACATCAGCTACGATTAATTTAGGGATTATTGTTGAAGCACTAAATCCATAGTAAAACACAACAGTGATTGCCAAAGCTTTTCATTTTTCCCTACACAGCTTTACTGTTCACATGACATCTTGTTTCCTGCTCTAAATGTGAGACTACAATACATTCTGTGCCTTTCCAAGATTAGAGAATGAAATTTGGTTTGTCAGCAGCAGTTGCCGTGTTATTGGGATGAGATGTAGGCTACATTGTGAAGCCAGCTGATGGACAGACTTGCTGTCTGGCCTCTTCCTTTCCCTGGATGATTCCTAAAGGAGCTTACACTCTAATATCCTGATGGGAAAAGGGTTTGCTTTAAGCTCGCCACGAGGATACTGTGAAGGTCCGAGGTAAATCAGATCAAAATACTTCTTCGAAAAAAAGACCTGTTTTTGACGCCAGCCGGTCGGGTGCAAATATGAAACATGAAAGCACCTGGCTGTTTTTGTGGATTTTTTAAATTTTTTTATATTCTGGAGGAGATTTTAAATTTTTTTTTCATGTGAAATATTTGGTAAGGCAGACGAAGAACAGTGAAGATGTGGATGTGAAGTAGATTTCGGACTAAAGCTGAAGACTTTCACCCAATTTCTAGACATGATTCCTACTAAGATGTTAGTGTACAGGGGGCCTGATGGAGGCACACACTCCCAGAAGGTTTCTAGTACAAGAAGACGGAAAAAATCCACCGGGGAGCTCTTCCAGAATGGCTACAGGGTGAGGATGGGCCACGGCCAGGTGATTGATAAAGAGGACCAGGACAGCATTTGCTACAGCTTCGGTGCATGCTTCCATGTGATCTCCTACTGGGGTAAGATCCTCAGGACGTGAGAGCAGAGGGGAATCTCTTTCTAAAGCCCTGTGCTGGATGCTGTGGGTCAGCTGGAGCATGTTCAAAATTTGCTGTGTGCTATGCTCTGCATCTGGCAAACACTCGCTTGGCACGGCATAACACAGTTAGTTGTTATAAAAAAGAAAAAAAAGATGATTTATTTTTATTTTCTCTAACTGAATGATTGCCTGTAATGTCTTTGATTTGTGTCACTTGGCATTCACACAAATCCACTCCAGCAGGAGAATTTATCATCCCAATTAATGCAGAGGGATACGGATTTAACTTGATTGCTCTCTCTTGGCTGAGGTGGCGTTTAATTTTTTATGCAGCTCAAACACTGTGAAAAGTGCAGCTTTTCTTTCTCAAAATGAGTGAGTTCTATGAATCATTTAGATTTCAAGCTCAGATATGAGGCGCCCTTTAGCAGGCTGTTTGCTGCAGTGCGGCGATGAAGCGTAGCGCAAATATTTGACTTTATCAGATGTGATTTTGTGGCAGATCATCTGAGCTTATCGACAGTAACGGCATTAAACACGCGATGACACGGTCGTCATTTAACCTGAATGTGAATACAGCCAAGTGGTGATTATGAGCAGGAGCTCAGGCTGGCGTTTGTTGGTGTTCTGCCGTCCTTGGACTGTTGGCAGCGTGCACCGGCTCCATTTATTTCTCCCAACAAATAAATACCCTCAAATTTAGGATTTGACGTCACATCTGTTTACTCATTCAATTTGGCGTGGCAGCATCCACCTGTCTTTACTCTAATCCAGGTTTTCATCTCGTCCACGTTCAGTTTTATCCACTGGGAATGACGCACGTATCAGGTAGATGCCGGTGCAGAGCGGGGCTCTTGAGATTAAAACACAGTGTTATGAGTTGATGAAGATCTGGGATGCCGAGCTTGTTTTGTGTTTTTTATTATGCTTTATTTCCCCACAAATATTTCAAATATTTTCTTTTAATATCGTAAGTGCTTAGTACCTGTCGATCTGTTGGACTTTACTTTTTGTCAATATGAATCCAATGAAGCTTGTAAACATGGATGAAAGTATGAAAGGTATGGTTGTTAAATGACGATCAGATATCATTCACGATGCCTGACTTGTTGCTAATCAGTGTTTTATGTTTATTTTCTCACAGGTTTGAGGTTTTTAAGGGCCTTAAGATTGATACAGTTCTCAGAAATTTTACAGTTTTTGAATATACTAAAGACAAGGTAAGTTTATTGATGCTTTTTCTTCTTTTTTGTTCATACAGCTGACAGTTTGTTTTTCACTTGCCTTTTGCTTCACGCGAAGAAAGAATGTAGTTTTATTTTGACAGCAAAATAAACACAAGGTTTCATTTGGCGAACGCTGACATCAAGTGTATTTCTCTGCACTGTGTTGTGCACACTGAACTATATCACCGTACCATATCATGCAGTCGTTGCTGCTGTGCCCCTTCTGCTTAGAATTAAAGAGTTTTGCACAGATGTCACGTCAGAAAGAGCTTTGAGTATATCGACATGCTTTAGAATAATCCTCTCACTTGACAGAACAGACAAAGAAGTGGATAGAAGTCAAACAGGGACAGCACTGCAATAACATATACACTGCAATACTTAATAAATCCTGATTATAGTACGCATTAAAGATAACAGACTCTTTGATAATGCATTTGTTTACACTGACATTAGGCTTAACTTTCAGCTGTATATGATGAAAATATCCTGGAGCCTGCTTGGATTTTTATTTTTTTATTTTTTGCAAAGCCACATGTAACAAGAATAGCATGGCTAACCACAACACAAGAAAAAGTACAAGCTATAAATTCAAGTAGAAGCTACAGTTTTAAGAGCTTAAATCTCTCATGTTGCATATTTTAATAGTTCAGGTTGAACCTTAATTCTGATTTCAGTCTCAGACTTATAATGTGTTTTAAAGCATAGACTGAATTTTTGTGTGAGCTAGGGCTTCCAGTTTGGCTTCTTATGCCGGTGTAACAGCTACAGTTAATACTTCATCTTCTGTTGTCTGGCTCTTTCTAACATAGCAACTCGATTAAGCTGGTGAACCTGTGTTCAATCTTCATAAGCACATGGCTAACTGCAGCAGGGTTCATTCATTTGGTAAGTTAGGTGAAAATGTGGTGGTGCTGTGTAGCAACTGGATGCCTATTATCAGTAATTATTTACTGCTTCATCAAAGGCCTGTGTGTTTCCGTGGTCGTTGTGTAAATTCTGACCTTTGTTCCAGGTGGAAAACTCAGGGGATCCTTGGGAAAACTTCCAAAATTCCCAGGCACTTTCCTACTGGGAATGTGTCTACTTACTCATGGTTACAATGTCCACTGTTGGCTATGGAGACGTGTATGCAAAAACCACCCTGGGCCGCCTGTTTATGGTCTTCTTCATCCTTGGTGGTTTGGTAAAAATCCCTCTCATTACTTATTCCTGCTTAAAATCCTCCATCACATAAATGCTGGGACTTAAGTCGAGACGCCCGCTTCACCCGTTGTTCACATTGAAGTGTATTTGTGGCTCACCACTTCACCACAGTATGTTGCATGTCATGTACTGTATGAGTTGTCCACAGTGTTGCAGCATTGATTTTGGTATAATGCTGAAGTTTTGATTTAAATGACATGTAGAATATTTGAGAATTTTTGCATCTGTTATTAACTGTAAAGGTACTACGGTTTCAGGTGGCTCCACCCTCCTGCCTTCCCTCCCTCTTTCCAACAAACACAGTGAGATAGAGTTGATTCATGACAGCCCAGCTTTATATGGATGTAGCAACATTGCTGTCCTCTTCCTGCACAACTTTCAGAATAGTCTGGCAGAAAATATCCCGTCGGGGATTTAACACAGACCCGAATTACCTGATAAAGAAAATAGGCAATGACGATTTAGAGGGCACAGTTAACCGGATTATAAAGTATTATTCAGCGTGGACATACAGTACTTTGATATGATCAAATACCAGGATTTAACTGAGGTAAGATTGAGGTATATTAAAGCGACTTTTCAGTCTTCTAAATCTGAAATGTTTTCATTTTGCTCAAAATTATGCAAAAAAAACCATAATAAAGGTTAATAATAATCTACCGTTAAACTTAAAAGGCATGCTAGGGGGCTCATGTGACTATATAGCTTCTCTGGTGAAGATTGTTTTCAAGATATTTCAGTTTTCATTCACCTGCACAGTGGCCTGTAAAATCACCAGTGTGAAACAGACATCAAGCCAATTGCAGACCTTCAAAGGGTGTAATCAGGCCCACTTTTCCCTTCGATTGCATTTTGTTTTGTGCTACACGTCATTAAGAATGAGAGTGGTTATCTATACTGTTAGTTAAATTAGAGCCAGAAGTCTTAATCGACATTGTGTAGTTTGCCCACTGGAGGGCACTGTGCAGCTTTATTTCTCTATTATTGTAGGGCAATGAAAAGCAGAGGTGTAAATGATGAATTGCTTTGTAATTAATTTGAAGGGTCAGAACAACAAAATACAAAATATATTTTATGCTGATAGATTTTTCTAAGCTTGAAGGGGAAAGGCTGAGGTGTTTTGTTAAAAACACTGTAAAAAGAAAAACAAATTTTATACTTAGGCTAATTTCTTGGATCTGTTGTAAGCTGGCACGTCTGCCTCCTCCACGCAGGAATATTCAGGTGGTTGGGCAGTGGCGTGCAGCCATAAGTTGTTTGCCATCCATTGAGCTGTGCTACTGAAATCAACCCGACGTGTGTTTGTTGGGCGAAACATGGCACATAAGGTTTTTTCTTAATTTTTTTCTTCAACATGTCGCTCATCTGCTTTCATTTTTCTCCTTTATTCTTTCAGTATCTGAAAATATTAGCCTTTAAACTGGATTCCATTGTCATACTTTTTCTCTATTGTGAATGTAACTGTGACATAACTTCAGCTTACATTCACATGATTTTCTTCAGTCAATTTGAATAATTACACGTTTCTTTTTCTCTTTCACCGTTTTCCTGTTAACACATAAAAAAACCTACTCCAGCGCGTAGAGTAGCGCTCCTCTTTCAGACTTCACAGATTTCTCTAAAGTTAAAATAGAGGACCTGCTCTTCTTTGCTTGTCTTTTTTTTAGTCTCTTCTTCTGTCTCCTATCTTCTCCTTAGGCCATGTTTGCAAGCTACGTCCCTGAAATCATAGAGTTAATAGGAAACCGCAAGAAATATGGTGGTTCCTATAGTGCGGTTAATGGGAGAAAGTAAGTATTCAAGGAGGCTCTACTGCCTCCGCCGCAGTAGAACCTTCTCTGCATGCCCTTTTCTTTTTCTTTTCCATGCATGTAGGCCATGTTTGCTCGCTACGTGCCAGAAATTGCTGCTCTCATCCTTAATCGGAAGAAATATGGAGGGAGTTATAACTCGACCAGAGGCAGAAAGTAAGTCAAACAAATAAATAAAATAGAAAACAAACAGACAGACAGACAAAACAGCAGATTTGTAATGGTGTGGTTTTGTGTGACTCAAGTGGCCCTCTCATAAAGAGGTGACATGATTATGATTTGAATTGTAATGATCTCAATGAGCATTAAAGTCACACTGTGACTGAAGAACTTGGCCATGATAAATGTGTATTTATTTCTGCTGCTTTTAGATGTGTACGAGCTGTCATTGCTAGAGTTTTTTTTTTTTTTTTTGAATAAATGAATGTCTGGTTTTACGCTGTAAAAAAAAATCTCCATTTAAGCAAGTGATTGTCTGTTACGGAGTCCTAAAAGTCATTTTCATAAAATAAGTGACCTGTTTTCAGTAAGTATTTACAGTTATTGTAAAAAGAATGCCCTTTGTCAGTTCTAAGTTTTTAAATACAGGCGATAAAAAAAGGTCCTGAAACTAAGTAAATGTATTACACCATACCAAGTTGCAGAAGCAGTGTGTGGAAAAACTCAGTACACTTCTACAGCTTCCATTGGAATTACAAGGTTGCTGATGATCACAAGAACTTCATTAACGGTCAAAAGTGCGAGGCAGAAGTTTTGGCAGTTTGCTGGTCTGGCCCGTTCAGGCGTGGGTAAACACAACGCCAAGAGATCAGCAATGAGAGAGAGAGGAGTTGTTGGTGCCCAACAGTCTGGGGAGGGTTATAAAGCACCTGCTAACAATTTGAAGTCCATTATTCTGCAGTGAGGATGAAGGGGAAACATCCAAGACAGCTGCCAATCTATGAAGGAGGGAACATCCCAGCAAATTCACCCCCAAGTCACACTGTGCGATGCTCAAAATACAAAAAACAAACAGAAGAGCTACTTCTCAGACTCTACAGGCCTTAGTTATCATGGCGAATGTTAAAGTGTGTGATAGTACTATTAGAAAAAGACTTGCATGGCTTCCCTTCTCTCTAAAAAGATCGTGGACGCATGGCTTGGGTTTGCAAAGTTGCATCTGAACAAACTGCAAGTCTTCTATCGTTTGGACAGAGAGGACCAAAGTGGCCACAATGCACAGCACCACAACTCGCTCCAACTGTCCAGCAAAGGTGGTGGAGGAGTGATGATTTTAGGCATGAACCTGGACACATTGCAGCCTTTGAGTCAGCTATGAACTCCTGTATACCAAAGTTATCTAGAGTCAAATGTAAGGGTATAAATACATAATGGCATGGTGTTATATGTCACTGTGTCATCCCAGGTTGTATTGGCCTAACTTTAAAACATGTTAAGGGCTAAATATTATTTTTGTTATGCCCTGATATGTAATTCTTTAGAATTGACAGAGGGTGTACTTTCTTTTTGCCTTGACTGTATAATAAAAGGACTTTATAATAATAATGATTTGGTAAAGATTTTCCAATTTTTTTTTTTTTAGAAAATATGACTTTAGGAACTCAAATAACAGCCACAAATATCTTGAAAAGGCAGATATTTTTCAGTGTAATCATATCGATGTACTGTTGTCATGCTTAATAGTGGCATTTGTAGGATTCTCTCACTGTGTTATAAACTGTGATTATCCTGTTGGGAATTGTTTCATTGTAACAAAAATGGGGAGAGGCTGTGCAGACTCCATACCAATGACTCAAAAGGTCACGTAGCTTAGCGATCCCTTTTATGGATTGAAGTGTAAATTGCGTCATCGTGGTTCAATACAGTACAGCAGCAATATAACTTCATAATGAAATGTTAATAAGTAGCAGTATCTATGTCAAACTCATCATAAAGTTCTGGTTACCCCACAACTATAGTCAGTTGAGCCAATTTAATAATATTCAAATAATATGCT